ATATGATGGTAACTTCGAGTTTTGATCCTGGACATTTTCGCCCGATTCGCTATTGTACGCATTTTTGAGGCTATAGTGGTTTGAAAATTTTGGAAAGTAGGTTTGGTTCAAATACGTTTTTCTTGGGGTAACTCAAGTGTTCTTAACTAATCATATTCAATGAACTAGTCATGATGTCTTGAGATTCTCTGGTAACATTCACTTCAAAATTTCTTTTTATTCCCTAGAAAAGTTTTGCTTAATGGGAAAAAATGGATTCTATTGCAATGATTTAGGTCGAACTCACCAGTCAAGCAGAGCGCGAATAGGACGAGCCGTAACAGCATTTCTGCCGTGTTAAGCAATTTCACGACTTTCCTGTTCAATCATGTCAGGTGAGTCAGCCTTATAAATATGTGAGATTTTTTTAAGAATATCCCTGAAAACTCAACTGATAAGATAAGGATGTTTCTGGAAACACACATACTTCATTTTCTCTGTTATGGGGTGCAAAGTCACAAAATGCAACTGAAGTGCTACGCACGTTCTCATGGAAATCTCGAGCCTTGTTTGATTTGTCACTAGGGAACCCTGAATATATGGGATCAGTGTTCAACGCATGTATGTCGTAGTTTGTATGTAGTTTATCAATGAGTTGACTCTCCATACACTCCGTTGGTATCGTTGTTGCTTTGAACCTAGCTCCTCCTCGCCAACGCTGGTAGCAGAGATTTTCGGTGAATACCTACATCGATTTACCAAAATTGAAGCCTGATTTCCAAAAACTCTCGACAGATCGATAATTGAAACTAAGCTTATAAAGGTTAGTTGATAATTTTTACGCTCGTTTACAAATAAACAATACATAACAATAGTGTAATCCTATAATTACAACATCTACAGCGTGATTAGGTTGAGCTACTAGTGAATCAGAGACATGAACAAGCAAATGCTTATATCAAGTGTTTTACGTCTTAAACTTCTTTTGCAAGCTGACATCGATAAAGAGTTATTAGCCTTTTCTCCAATTAATTTTTATGTTCTTTGTAGTGACTACTGAAATCTGGTTTTTAAGCTGTTATCAATTACAAAAGAGGATTATGGGTACTGTATGCCTATAAAGAAGGTCTTCGCTGCTTTACCGTTGTTCGAAAAATTACTGGCATCGCACTAATTCCGGGGTTTTTATTATGAACAATTTACTTTTTTCATAAAATTCACTATTATGGTTCATTGATTCATTTTTGGGAATTGCAACCAGAACCAAAACGTTTTTAGCTGACAAGCTCGTCAGAGATTGAAATAATCATCTGATCGTTTTGAAAAGCGAAACCTCATTTTTCACTTGCCAGTGGTGTACCTCATGAACAAGTAATAACGCCTTTTACAAATTGGTGCATTTACGAAAGATGCAAGACTGTAAAGGGACATTTGAAAAACAAAACACAACTAATGATCACCAAT